TAGGCACCAAACAAGTATTCTTGAATAAATGACAATGTAGAATAGCAGAGGGCAAATTGGACACTTATGACTCCTATCTATCACAAAATGTCTTAATATATTTTATTAAGTAAAAGTAGTTGATATATTGTAATACTTTCTTTATATACAATTAGGTAGTCCTTTCTTTGAGGACACTGGTGGTAGTAAAACATCTAGTTTACTGGATGACTTAATCTGAGACAACATCATCTCTTGCCTGGACTACTACAAAAGCCTTCCATATTTGCAGTAAGCCAGCTCCCCACAACAGTCTTCATTGAGCAGCCAATGATCTTTCCAAAACATAAATAAGAGACTATAAGCCCCCTACCATGGCCTTCATGGTCTGGCAAGATCTGCAGCCTGCATCCTCACCCCCACCATCTTATTATCATTGTCCCCCTTAATCTGCTTTGGCTACGCTGGCCTTCTTTCTTGCAGTTCCTGTAAATAGCAAAGCTTATTCCAGCATCAGAAGCTTTGCACTTTTGATTCTCTCCGCCTTAAATTTTTTTCCCCAGATCTTGGCTTTCTCGTCAATTCAGATCGCTGCTTAAATGTCACTTCCTCAGAGGCCTTTCCTGACCACCTATCTAAAATAGCCCATCACGTCCTTGTCAAACTCGATCCCATTATGCTGCTTAATTTTCGTCATATAACCTAGCCCGGTAATGTCTGTCTCCTTATTAAAGTGAAAGCACAAGCGATTGCATCTGTCTTGCTCACTGTTGTCTCCCCAACGACCAGAACAGTGCCTGGCCAGTAAACACTTGCTAAATGAATAAACACACTTAGTAAATGTGTGTTAACATGTCCACCTCGCATTTTTCGCANCCAATCGGAGGCGAGTCACAGCCGGATCGGCACGCCTCCCCTAACTGTCGCGAATGCACAGGTCGCTTTACGGCAGGCAGGGGGTGGGGGCTGCTGGGGGTAAGGAGGAGAGAAGGAAGCAACCAACAAACCAAGTCGCCCCCACCCCCCACCCCCACCCATCCTGGACCTGGTTTACGGCTCCGGGCTCAGGCTCCAGTGCGGCCGCTGATTGGTTGCTGAAGGCTGGGTCCCATCCCAGTGACCCCAAAGTGCTGGAGGGAGGGGGCGGGGGTGGCCCAGTGCAAAGTGCATCCCGAAAGCCCCCTGTTCGGAGACCCAGCTGCTGGCACTTCGGACCCTGTGTGACCTAGGGACTTCGCTGTCCCGAGACCTCCCGGGTCTCTCCGTAGCTGTAAGCCTCCGGCCCGGAGCGCGGCAGCCCCCTGCTCCGAGCCTCTGGACCGGGACTGCCCCCCGCCAATCCCTGCCGGGACTTCCTCCCTGCACCCCTGCCCCGAGTCTGCCAGGCGGCCGGGACCGCCACCCCGAGGCTGCTTGGCTGTCTGGATGCTCTCCGAGCTGGGGTCGTGAGGTACTGAGGAGGATAAGGAACACCCGTGTCCGGCCCTGCCTGGGGTGTTTCTTCAATGGAGAAGTTGGTGAGTGTGGAGGAGGCTGAAAGGAGGAAGAGAAGCAGCAGCTGAGGAGACAGGTAAAGTCAGTCACCTCCCCTGGGGGCAAGGGGGCTGGCTGGGAGGGTGGGAGGGAGGATAATCACTGCTCCTTCCTGTCTGCCCTTGCCATTCTCCAGCCCCTTTCTTTGCCCCCTCTTCCTCAGAGCCCCCTCCTCCTGGCCCTGGGGCACTGCCCCACTCACTGGTTTCTGTTTTCCAGGTTTAAGCTGGTTGGAGGAGACGCGGAGAGCAGGCAGGGGTCTGCGCACCCACCAGAGAAGCAGCAGGCGCAGTGCCTCTGACCAGCATCCTCTATAAAGGTAATGAACCAGTCCTCCCCTCCCCCATTGTTTATTCCTGGCCCCTAACTTATTAAGTAGTGCTTTATTTTCAGGGTGGTTGCCTGGTAATGCAGCCCTTCCTAGCCCCCAGGTTCCTAGCAAAAGCAAAAATGCTGCCCATGATCGATCCTTAATATTTTAATAACTTCTCTACCCCAGAAACATATTTTCTCCTTTGCTCTTGGAACAGTGTGTTTCCGTGTTTTGCATTATCATTTTGGTACACTGTGCCATTTATTCTGCTCTGAGGCTTTGAGACCTTTTCGTAGCTCCCCCGCCTTCCTTATTCTCATAGGAATTCCTCAATTCCTTGTTAATTGCTTGTTAATTCTGAATGACTCTCCTTTTTAATTAAACCACAATTTACTGTTTTTCCCTTCGCTCCTTCCCATCAACTTTCCTCTACCTCCATCAGAAAATCTTCTGAGTTACCTAAAAGACAGCGGTTTGGT